GGTAATTATCGATATGTATGTTCCTATTCCCATTTTCTAAATTGTTTTGGGTTCGTTATTATAGGACTTTTCCTTCTCTTGTGTTTTTGTCTAGAGAAGTTCCTTTAGCACCGGCAGGCGGACCCCTAACCACTGTGCCACCAGGGAAGCCCTGGGTCTTGTTTTTGTATACATTCAGCGAGCCTGATTTGCTCCTTGTCTTTTGGTTGGAGCATTTAATCCATTCACATTTAAGGTAATTATCGATATGTATGTTCCTATGACCATTGTCTTAACTGTTTTGGGTTTGTTTTTGTAGGTCCTTTTCTTCTCTTGTGTTTCCCACTTAGAGAAGTTCCTTTAGCATTTGCTGTAGAGCTGGTTTGGTGGTGCTGAATTCTCTTAGCTTTTGCTTGTCTGTAAAGCTTTTGATTTCTCCATCGAAACTGAATGAGATCCTTGCCAGGTACAGTTATCTTGGTTGTAGGTTCTTCCCTTTCGTCACTTTAAGTATATCATGCCGCTCCCTTCTGGCTTGTAGAGTTTCTGCTGAGAAGTCAGCTGTTAACCTTATGGGAGTTCCCTTGTATGTTATTTGTCGTTTATCCCTTGCTGCTTTCAATAATTTTTCTTTGTGTTTAATTTTTGCCAATTTGATTACTATGTGTCTCAGCGTGTTTCTCCTTGGGTTTATCCTGTCTGGGACTTGTTGCACTTCCTGGACTTGGGTGGCTATTTCCTTTCCCATGTTAGGGAAGTTTTTGACTATAATCTCTTGAAATATTTTCTGTGGTCATTTCTCTCTCTCTTCTCCTTCTGGGACCCCTATAATGTGAATGTTGTTGCGTTTAATGTTGTCCCAGAGGTCTCTTAGGCTGTCTTCATTTCTTTTCATTCTTTTTTGTTTATTCTGTTCCACAGCAGTGAATTCCACCATTCTGTCTTCCAGGTCACTTATCCGTTCTTCTGCCTCAGTTATTCTGCTATTGACTCCTTCTAGTGTAGTTTTCATTTCAGATATTGTATTGTTCATCTCTGTTTGTTTGTTCTTTAATTTTTCTAGGTCTTTGTTAAACATTTCTTGCATCTTCTCGATCTTTGCCTCCATTCTTTTTCCGAGGTCCTGGATCATCTTCACTATCATTATTCTGAATTCTTTTTCTGGAAGGTTGCCTATCTCCACTTCATTTAGTTGTTTTTCTAGGGTTTTATCTTGTTCCTTCATCTGGTATATAGCCCTCTGCCTTTTCATCTTGTCTGCCTTTCTGTGAATGTGGTTTTTGTTCCACAGGCTGCAGGATTGTAGTTCTTCTTGCTTCTGCCGTCTGCCCTCTGGTGGATGAGGCTACCTAACTGGAATGATCTTTTTTTTTTTCCTTGCGTTATGCGGGCCTCTCACTGTTGTGGCCTCTCCCATTTGCGGAGCACAGGCTCCGGACGCGCAGGCTCAGCGGCCATGGCTCACGGGCCCAGCCGCTCCGCGGCATGTGGGATCCTCCCGAAACGGGGCACGAACCCGCGTCTCCTGCATCGGCAGGCGGACTCTCAAGCACTGCGCCACCAGGGAAGCCCTGGAATGATCTTTTTAAAAGCCAGAACGGATGACATTTCTCCCCACTCCAACCTACCCCAGGATACGCTTCACGCCCTTGCCAGGACCGCACATGGCCGGCCCTGCCTCTCCCTCCCACTCCTCCCCTCTGTCTCGCTGGCCCCCAGTCTGTTTCTAGGACCTGCCAAAAAGCTCCTCCCCAGCAGCCTTTGCACTGGGGTCCCCAAGCTGGAACTGGCTTCTTTTCCGCTCGCTTAGATGCCTTCCTGGGGAGCCTTTCCTGACTGCATGACTGCAGTAGGTCGTGCACCCCACCAGGCCCTCTTGGGCACTCGGTCCCATCACATCCCAGTTTCTTTTTCTTTTGTTTTTTTTTTTTAGGCCACACCATGCGGCATGCAGATCTTAGTTCCCCGACCAGGGACTGAACCCGTGCCCCCTGCATTGGGAGCATGGAATCTTAACCACTGGACCACCAGGGAAGTCCCTCGTCTGCTTCCTAGAGCACCTGCCGGGGTGCACGCTCACTGTCTTCCTGCACCTGCTGCAGGGCCGGGGCCGGGGCTGCTTCGTTTGCCCCGTCTTCCTTCAGCCCTGGCCCAGTTGGCTGAAGACAGAACCCAGACAGCCTGTGGGGTCTGGGCTTCCACCCCCTACCATCTCCACATCACTTACAGTCAAATACAAGTCCCTAATCCAGTCTCCATAACCAAATTTAGCTTTTCCAAAGACTCTCATTCCTGAGTATTTTGTGTGCCTTGGGCTGTCGTGTTCTCCGAGGTCATCTGAAATGCTCCATGAAGACTTCAAATTGGGAATTAGGGCTTCCAGGGGTAAATGTCTTCTGATTCTGTCCTGTGTCCAAGGGCTAACGGTCAGTTGGCCCTCTCCTTGTGGAAGTCAAGGGACTGGCCACTAGGTGTCGCCACACACAAAAGAACCAGAGCTCCAGGGCCACACCCACCCGCTCCCCTACGTCTGTGCTACTGCCCCCTCACCCCCCACCCCCTCGGCCCCCAACACAAGCCCCCCAAAGGCCCTTCTGGTTCAAGGCTTCATAGTGGTCCTACTGTCACAAACCACCCCCCAGTCCTGGGTGCCAGAGCAAGCTCTATCCCCCCATTTAGGGGCCAGCTCTACCCAGGCAAGGATATGTCTCTGGTTTTGCTGTGCGTCCCAGGACCTCGGGACGCTGGCTTCACAGAGGTTGAGAGCCCCTTCCTCACTGTCCTTTCCTGACCAGCCAAGCTTCCTCCAACAGGAGTATGAGGGATCAGAACCCACAGGAGTGTGTGTGGGTGCCCGTCTCAATCATTTTACACGGGGTCTATTTCACAGAACTTTGCTCCTCCCAACAATCCTAGCCTTGGCGTCACGTACAGACCGGTTCTGTTCCACTGTAGCTCCACTATCCCCGGGGACCCACCACACTCACACTGTGATTACCAGGGGGCCTCACACACCCAGCCGTGGGCCTGGGGTGTCGTTGGTGCCTGAATGGGTCTTCGGGGCCAGGTCACTCCCTGCTCACACTTCCCTGGCAGAGACCAGTTCTTAAACTGTTACTCCTTGCCTTGGAGTCCTTCCTAAAAATTCTGGTCTTCTAGGATTCTTCGAGCTCTAGTTTGAGCTGACTCCACCCTGCTGCCTGACAGAACACCCAGGCATGGGTCAGGGCCGACTGCGGCGTGAACACGTGTTCCTGCCCTCCACACTCCAATCCTGATGGACGAGAACACTGGGACCTGTTTACATAATTCCGTCCCAAACAGAAGCTGCATCAAGGGTGCCAATGTGAAGGAAATAATTGAAGAGAATCAATCACAATCAACCCAAACAACAACGACCTTTCAGTCGCTGGTATGCTGCAAGTGTATTACAGTGTGTTTGAGTTTGGTGCCTATCCAAGCAAACATGTGGTTAAGTTTTCATCACAGTTTTGACACACATCAGATTAACTTCACTTGAGAATTCTTATACTTCCCTGTAGGGATCAAGAACTGGTCTCCACTAAAATGTGTTTAAATTACCTAAGTCCAAACTGCAAAGAATTTGGACACAATAATTATTCATTCAGTCCTCAGCTGTGAGAGCTGAAGGTACGGTAACGCTGCTTCTCAGTTATGGTCTCCTGGCGACCCCAAAAACACACCACCGCCTAAGATGGTGGAGCTTCCATCCTAAATCTTAAGAAAATCCCTCAGTGTTAACTGCCCAAGTCAGAGACAGACCTGCTCCCTCTCTTAAGATATAACATTCTGGAAGCTAAACAGGGAAAGGCATACATGAGCCAAAAAATAGAAAATGGAAAGAAACAGGCAACTATCAACTATGCAAATGAAAGTCGAGGGGAGAGGCTTGTGGCTAAGTGGATGTTGTGTCACAAATATCCACGGCTTACGCGAAAGTGGGCGTGATTCCAGAAAATTACTGATTGGGACAAATGCACTTCAGAGAAACTGAGTTCCATACATTCACTGCAGACACACAGATGCATTCACCCCCACACACACACCTTCCTGTGGTTCTGAGCCTGCATCTCTGTTGAAGGAAGGTTGGTAGGTAAAAGACAGTCAGGAAGGGGTTCCTAACCACTGGGAAGGATGCTTACAAAGCGACAAATGTGGCTCGTGGCCTGGGAGGCCGCACTGCATTTTCTGGGAGGCACAGAGGTCGTCCGTAAGATACCATGTTCCTGCCCAGAGATTAGAGGGACCTAATCTCTATGCACATGAGCTCCAGCTTGGAAACAGCTGATCTCACTTTGGAACTGGGAGGTAGAGCAGGAAAGACCCAGAGAGCAGGACATGCAGAAGTCAGACCCGTTCTAATAAACGACTTTGAAAAGCTGGCCTCCCTCTGACAGGCGGGGGGCTGCGGGGGGCACCCAAATACAAACACAGCCACCTGCACTCCTTTTTATTTATAAACTTAAAGCTAATGCTGTTTAACACCCACACTTATGTAAATTGGAATATACCTTTATACCCAGGGTGGTCTACCACCTGCTTGTAAATGCTGCCTGACCTCAGGCTCGGCCAGACAACAGGGGGCGCCTATAGGTACACAAGCCACCTCTCCCCCATGGGTCCCAGCACTTGACTTTTGTCCATTTAAAAAAAAAATGTGATATACTTTAGATGTTCATGTTTTAAAATGTACATTTTCATCTGTACAATGTTTACATTGCATGAAAATACTATGCCATATAACTGTGTGACTCACAGAGCTTATATAAAATATTAATTCAGACCTTACACATCTTAACAGTCTAAAAGACATCAGCAGAACCACAACGCTCACTGTTAAGAACCCACACAGCTGAAGCAATGAGCATTATCAGGGACGATGAAGAAAGGATATGAGATGTGCTAGCTTCACGGTCAGTCCTAGAGCCAGTACCCAAGGCCCTCTCCTCAACGCCATTCTATGGCCACTCTACCAGACGTCCTTCCCCTGGGGTCCTTACCTGCTTCTGGAAATCACCTTCAGGAAAACAGGTGCTCAACTGTGACGGGCAGGTTGTGACCGGGGAGAAGGAGGAAGGTGCGGCCCTGTGGGAAAACACAGAACCCAGGTCACGGGAGGAGCCAGGAGGAGCCACGGCCAGTGCTGTGGGATAAAGGCGGATGGCGGGAAGCTTGTGGCCAAGGGCCCTGCACGGTCTAGAAATATCTGTATGTCTGGCCAGCCCAGAAACTTGCACCAGCACCCTGGGATAAGGTGCTAACTGCAGCTATGCACTGTCATTTCCAGCCAAAGCAGGTCACCACACACCCTCCTCCCCTTGGGTCAGTCACCGAGGCCGAGTGAGAGCCGTGCTGGGAGATGTCGAGGACCAGAGTGAATCACTCCCGGGCAGCTGATGGGCAAGTCCTGCACCTGCCCGAGAAGGCGTCCCACCCACTAAACAACATGACAAGCCAGGCGCAGCTACCTCAGCGCTCCGCCCACTTTGTGCTCAGACTTGCATGGTGTCTGTGTGCCTGGGGAACATCTGTAGTTGTATATGGAAACATAAGTTTACACACACACACACACACACACAACCACAGATTCAGATAATTTAAAACCTACTAGTCTGGCCACAGGTCTGCTTGCCCCAAACACACCTCTTCTAGGAATCAGAGAACATTCTCTTCTCTTCTTTGGCCTTCCACACACACCCTCATCGTCTGGGTCCTCTGCAGGTTGACCGGGCAGGAGGGAGGCTGCTAATGGTGGGTGGAGGTGCAGGCGGGGGGGCGG